TGTTAATGAAATCAAAATATCATACGGAAATATTTATTAAGTGCATGTGGGTACTTTTACAGTTTGTACTGCTTTAAATGTATGGTTTGGATTGAGAAATATGTTTTCATTATTTAATTAATGAGTAATTATAGAATTAAATTTAGATTAGTGTTTTTATTTTTTCTTTGAATTATTTCAATAAAGAAAAAATATTAGTGAAGTGTTGATCGGGAAATTCCTGTGGACACCCCCAGAGCTCCAGTGACTTTTTGGTGGCAAGTTTGGTGTCTATGGAAAGCTCGTTATTAGATCTTTCATTTGGAACTAGTACCAACTGATTTGGTAAAGTGGAGTGATAGTTTATAAATTTCTCTTTATTTTTTTTTATAGAATTGTACACAAATCTTGCACGTATCACTTATATAAAATTTTAACCACTCATTTTCTTATTATGAATGGTTGAAATTTATTTATTTTTTATTATTTTTTTAAAAATATTATTTTATTTTTTATTTAAAAAGTAACTATAGGTATCAAATAAATATCAACTATTTATAGCAAAGAGAGGAATAATTAAAATTTTGTATACATGATATGTGTAAAAATTGTTTTTAAGTTGATTGTAACTCTTTAAAAAGAAAAAATAAAAACTGATTTGGTCAAGTGGAGTATATTTCCAAATATTTGTTTTACTCAAGCTGGTGCTTTGGTTGTGATTAACATTATTTTTGCTCCATATTTATTGACATTGTTTGGAGTTTTAATTATCATAACTTAGCGAGGAAAGTAACTTCCCCCCATTGGCACTTTGGTTTTAATTTTTAGTCTTTAATTTATTTGAAGAACCAGCTGATGACATACATGATAATTTCTAGTGCTTTAGGGGAGCATCATGAAATCAATGGAGGAGCAACAAATGAATTCCATGAATGGAAGCTTTACTTACTCTCAGATTGCCAAAATAACTTCAAATTTCAAAACGGTTATTGGGAAAGGAGGATTTGGGGAAGTTTACCTTGGCATCTTGAATGCTGACACTCATGTTGCTGTTAAGGTCCTGTCTTCAACATCAATGCAAGGCTATAAGGAATTCCAAGCAGAGGTTGGATTGTTGCAGCCATTTCTCTCATTGCTATCTAAGATTAGACTTAATACGTATAAAATAAATTTTACCATGACAAAGCATCATCTTTAAATGCAGGTAAAACTTATGACAGTTGTTTGTCATGAAAATCTGGTGTCTGTAATGGGATACTGTGATGAAGATGGTAATAAGGCATTGATATACGAATACATTGCCAATGGAAATTTGAGACAATATTTATCAGGTTTGGATTTTTTATGACCAATTTTAATTGTCCTTGACTACTTGAGCTAGAAATTCTTACCTTGAATGTTTTTCTTGTAGAGAAGAGTGAACGAATTTTGAGTTGGGGTGAAAGGCTTCAAATTGCTGTAGATGCTGCACATGGTGCTAATTTTTTTAAGTGAACTATTTCTTCAATTTCTTTCTCTTTCTAATTCCATAGAGCCATCAACTGATGTTGTGCTAAAAGTGCAGGGTTAGAGTTTCTTCATGGTTGCAAGCCCCCAATAGTGCACAGAGATTTGAAACCAGCCAACATCTTATTAACTGAAAACATGCAAGCCAAGATATCAGATTTTGGACTATCCAGACTTTTTTCAACAGAAGCCTCTCATATATCAACTCGCCCTGCAGGCACATTTGGATATCTAGATCCTGAGTAAGACTTAAAATTAAATTTTTAACATGTTTAATATATCATTCTTGTTCCGAATCTTATCAATATCATTTTTTTTTTTATTTTTTGGTTTTTCCATACAGATCTTATACGATAGGACGCATAAGTAAGAAAAGTGATGTCTACAGCTTTGGGATAATTCTAATAGAGCTCATTAGTGGTCAGCCGGCAATCATAAGACAGGGCAACGAGGATGACATTCACATACTTCGATGGATTTGTCCTTTATTTGATAGAGGGGATATCTGGAGCATCGTTGATCCAAGGCTACAAGGTGAATTTAACATCAATACCGCTCGAAAAGCAATCAAGATAGCAATGTCATGCGTGTTGCCAATTAGACAAAGGCCAGACATGAGTCATGTGCTGGCAAAACTTAAGGAGTGTTTAGATGTAGAGATGGGTTT